CATAAACAACTAAATGAGCAGGTTCTTGGAGAAGGGAAACGGACAAGGAAAGTTCCATTGTCCTGGCCTCGTTTAGAATTGAAAAGTCTATGAGAATTTGCATGGTTTTTTATTTTCTTGTTCATCAACGTCTTGTGAACATTAAAAACCATTGGAAGATCGGTCTAAAACCCACAAGAAATTCAATGAAATGGACAGATAGAGAGAGCATAAACTCAATTCTTAGCTGCTACTTTATATTTAATTATATGTTTGACTATTTTGGTCCACAAAAACAGCATATGAACACAAAACTTTCAAACTGAAAAGTAGCCAACATTTGAAAATCATTCAAAAAAGTATTAAGGATTTGGACGATTGAAGAGAAGTTATGGCGTATGATTCTAAGTAGTTGCGTTTTAGGTTTCAATCTGGGTTTCTTTGTAAGAACATAAAGATTCTTGTCTCACCTTTGCTAGAGAAATCTTTAATTTTTATTTTCAGTGGCTTAATCATATGAACATAAAAATTAAGCATATTTCGCTTGTAATAAGGTGAACTTTTAGGAATTTTCTTAGAAAACGCGTGAGTGGAAGCAAAACATGCTAAAAGGGATGTGGAAACCAGCTATTTCTAGGATTTAAGAAGTTGTCAACTTCCCCCAATCCGATAGTTATATGCTGTAAGCCGTTGTTGTTGCCTTTTTTGATATGAATCCAACAACTGATCACTTGCATGTACCCGAACACGAGCAATAACAAGAAGCAGTACAAAGAAGATTCAAGTATCAAATCAAAGAAATAATAGAGTGACTGACATTGGAAAGTGATTAGAAAACTTGCCTTTCTGAGTTGAACTACCAATTAAAACAATTTATGAATGCCTTATTTTCTTCAATTTGTATTTAATAGTATTTATTAGTAATTTGTAGCTTGTGGTTGAACTTTATTATGTTAGGGTTATCTTGTGAGCCTATTGAAAGGCATGTAATATTCAATTTTGAAATCACGATGGAATACAAAAACCTTGTGGTTGAAACCGCTCGGGTGGTATGTTTCTTTCAAACCTTGATTTAGGTTTGATGTTAAAAATCGATTAATTGGATTAGTTATGATCAAGCTAATTCTGGAGTGAGTCGTCTTGATATCTAAGAGTAACCATCATAGATTCCAAGTTCGATCTAAGAGTCATTATCTTCTAACCAGCTCTTGATTAGAATCAATTAGTTATAAGTTAGCTTTCTCCGTGAATGTTTCCAAGGATTCTAGAAGGACTTTTAGCTCTGCAAATTCCAGCATTGTAGGCGCTTATCATTTTCGCTTGCATCACATATAATACCAATTTCAATCTTTCAAATCTTACTTTTAAAACTATCTTTCGAAATCTCTCTACCCGTTTTCTAAAACTTGCTTTTTGAATTGGGGCCAGAGGCTCGAGCATACGTCGCTTGGCCGTATGCGACGCAAGAACGAATTAGCTTAACTCACTTGTTGCAGGAAATGTCTGTGTTAAGTTATGAGAATAGTAACATACACAAAATTAAGAGTCAGAAATGATCGACGCTTTTAGTGCATCACTCGATGATTGCAATAATTATTTATTATACATAGCTAAGATAGAATATGCGACCAAACAACTTCAAATTAAAGTATTTTTCTTTTATATGTATACATGAACAATGTACAATAAAACACGAACACACAAATATATATGAAGATCATACACAAAAATACATTTTTTAAAAATACCACAAATTATTAAATAGATGTATATTTGTTAAGCCCTTGAAAATGTATCATAAATACTTGGCAAATCAATAGGGCTCCAATTGCTACCAACCAAATTTGGATCTTGAGCTTCCATTCCAAACATTTCCACTCTTGTTGGTTGGAAACAAAGATGATTCACCATGATCATAGAGCTTGACCAACCGCCAACGACCATGTCCTCCCCCGGCAACGGCGGCAATTGAAGCTCACGAGCCGCCGCCGCCGCCACTTGATCATCATTCTTCTCCTCTAACCCAAAGCAATCCGCCACTTGATAATCACTGGCCCCTAACCCACATTCCTGCGTGGAAAACTCACAAAAATTTCCACCACTCTCACCCGAACCCAAGAAGTTCCTGGCTCCGTTCGATGCAGTAGTATCGGTCATCGGAAAACTCCCCGGCATGTGTGGCTTCTGGTTCACAAAATTGGCGTAGACGACCGCCAAGTCGATAGTTGGCGACCCATTGGGGTCCGGGAGACGGTGGTGGTGACCGAGGCAGCTTCTATCATTGTGAAATTTAGAGGTTGAGGAGGATGGGGTTAGGGCTAAAGGTTTAGCCGGTCGTCGATTCTTCCTACAGCCACCACCAATAGGAATGTTACGAAGCGAACCGCCTTTAGTCCAGTACCGACGACAACCCTTGCAGAAGTAGCGAGGTTGGGTGAGGCTATAATTGTTGTAATAACAAAACTTAGTATTAGAAGAGCCACATCTAGGACAATTTGGTGACATTTCCACCATTGGCTTCCAACCTCTCTCCATATTCAAATGGAATTGTAAGAGAAAACCCAGATGGGAATTGGCATTAAATCACAAGATTTGCAAAATTCTCTCTAAAAGAAGAAATTTTTTTGGTGGGGTTTTGAAGAAGATGAACAAGCTCATGAGCACATGAGGAAAGAGGAAAGGATTATGCCACTGATCCGAAGGCTAATACGAGGTGTCGGTGTCGGTGTTTGACTTACGTGGCAAAAGGGTATTGGTGGATACGAGGGTTAATGAGGAAGCAAAAGCCTCGAGAACCTAAGTTTAGGGTTTGGTTTATGATATCAAGAGAAAGCCCACATGGTTTTATTTTTTTTGTGCTTTCAGGAATTGGGTCATCCAATCCCTTGAGATATTTAGATATTCTTTCATAAAGTTTCAATTTTTTTTTTCCAATATTAATGGAGGAGGAGAGAGAAAAAGGGAATAGTGGGAATCTCTCTCTTGCAATAGCGTACAAAAGTAAAGAAAGGATCTCTTGGATCATGGGCTTCTTGGATCACGTAAAATAAAGAGAGAAAATGGTGATTTTCAGTTCATATTCAATTAGAGTTCGTGCACCCAAATCGCCAAAATTCGTGTACCATTTGCATTTGAACTGGGCTTTGCAGTGACATGACCTGTTCTGGTAGCTGTGGAGCTATAATGGGCGGCCTAAGATGCTGTGGGGGTGGCTGTGGAGGTTGCAGCGGCAGTAACTGAGGCAGGGAAGTGCAGGTAGAGGATTAGAAGCTAGCTAGCTAGCATGATGCACCACCTAGAACATGTGTGTAGTTGAAGTTGCAGTAGGGTTCTGAGGAATAATTTCAGCTCAACTGGTTGCTTGACCCTACACGAATGTCCCAATGCCGCAACTAAAATGTTTTATACAAATTGTTGTAACGGAAGTGGAAGTAACATCGATCGTACTCACATACCCACAAACATAAATTAAACAAAGAGACGTAAAGATTTACGGATTCGAAAAAAAAGAAATTCTTTTACATCCACTAGTAGCAACAAATCTCAATAATTAAAGTGCTTACAAAGTGTATATCGCTATAATATCTCCTCCTCCCAAATCTCCCTTAGCAATTTCAAGATGACACTCAAATTCAATCAAACTCTATATATCTTAATCATCCTAGACAACCTTTTATAAAGGCGTAGAAGTATTAATGTCATACATGAATCAAAAGGGTTATGAACTAAATGTCAAAACATGCATGGCATGAACTTATTTTTCATGACAACTTACGACAATAACTTCATTAAAGAAGTCACGGCCTCATCAATCATCGAACTATAGTTGAATGTAATGGCAGAGGGAGCTCTTCTAGGTTCCGTTCAGCATAAGTTAGAAGGTTATTTAATGAACTGGCCAAGATCCTCTGCTGTATTTTCTAATATATTATATATATAACCAAACTTAGGCAGCTAGCCTGTCAAACAAATGAATACTGTTCAACCTTGAAGAAGTTACCAGAAGTAATAATGTTACTGAGAAGCCAACAATTGAAGAGACAGTCATTTCAGAAGGGTATGCCTACCAGCTTTGGAGATAAATGCATATTTACAATGAATCTTATGCTAAATCTTCCCAATAACATGCCAAAACAGCATATTTTTTTGGATTACCACATAAAGGAAGGCCAAGATAAGTAAAGGGCTAACAACTATGGTTATTTTATAGTTACTCGCTTTAACATTTTTTCCTGTGAGATTCCCGTTGGTTGGAGAGAGGAATGAAACATTTTTTATAAGGGTGTGGAAACCTTTTCCTGTCATACGCGTTTTAAGATCTTGAGGGAAAGCTCTTGAAAAGAAAGCCCAAAGAGGATAATATCAGCAAACGATGAGCTTGAGCTATTACAGATGATATCAGAGCTGAGCATGGAGCGGTGTGCTAGCGAGAACGTTGGACCCCCAAGGGAGGTGAATTGTGGGATCCCACATTGGTTGAAGATTACAAATGGTACCAGAACGGGACACGGAGCGGTGTACTAATGAGGATGCTGAGGCTCAAAGGGGTGGATTGTGAGATTCTACGTTGATTAGAGATTACAAATGGTATTAGAGTCGGTGTGCCAACGATGACGCTAGGCTCTTAAGAGGGATGGATTGTGAGATTCCATATTAGTTGGAGAGGTGGACGAAGTTTACTTATAAGGTTGTGGAAACCTGTCGTGGGGAAGGGATAATCACACTAAATATATATATATGACATAATTTAAATATTAAATATTTTTCCATTTTTGTTTAATTTGAATTTTATTTATTTATTTTTAACAACAAAACTTATTTAATTGATATAAAATGTATAACAACTATTTTTTTTCTTTAAATTTGACATGCAAAAAAAAAAAAAAAAAAAAACATTTAATTATTTGGACGAGACATGTTTTCTTTTTTAACCTACGTTATGTCAGCTCAGCATGGTTAAAATACTTTGGATGCAAAAAATAAAAAAGAAAAAAGAAAAAAGAAAAAGGGCTTTGCAGTTTAGCGGGTGAAGAGTCTGAAGTCTCAACAACAAACGGGCCACAAGACCGCGAAATTGACAAGGATCGTCTGTAGCTTGCTGCCTCAGTAGTCCATCCCCAGAACAGCCCGGAATTCTTGTCTACCACGGCTGCTCCCTCAATTCTCCATTGCCGCCGGTGAAATCTAATGGTCTATTAGCAATTAGCAGCAAGTATCTAATTCGGGGAGTTGCGTTGATTCAGCAAGGCGATTTGCTTCCGTCATTGAAGCCGGCGTTAGTCACTGCCGGCAGCTGAAAGAAAGGGAAACATGGATCCGGAAAATACACCTCTGGGCAGGATGCTGCTGGAGGAGATCACTCCGGTTATCATGGTGCTTAATACCCCTCTTGTTGAAGAAGCCTGTCTGAAGAACGGTCTCTCATTCGTCCAGATGCTCACACCATTCTGCTCGTTCGACAATATTGACGGTAATCCATTGCTGTCTTCCTCATACAGATTCAATTTAGTACATACACATTGCACGTAGTTGTGAGAACATTCGAATTGGACGCGAGAATTTTCATGTTTGGTTGGGCTTCTTTTTTCTTGTTTCAGTGCCCGTACGCACCGCCAGTGATCAACCTTACAGGATTAAGAAATTCGGCTCACGGTTGTTCTACGGTTCGGACATTCGTCAACCTAATTTAGAGGTAAACATTTTAAACGAGATGTTTGGTTCATGATGAAGTTAGTTGGACAACTATACATTGCATATTTGTAGTTTGGATAGCCAATACAAAAGAATTCAGTTAAATTGACGGTGATTGAACAAGGGGGTAACTATTAGCTTAACTGGAAGCTTACGTGAAAACCAACTAGCCAAGTTTAATCACTACAACATGATATGCTACTGAAATGGAAAATTCCCTGTTAGGTGCGATATGTGGAGATAAACTAGATAATTTTATTAATGAATTGGCTTCTGCCTATTAGTTGTTGAATTATTTGGTTAATGTCTGGGGTTTTGCCAACCCGTCAATTAATTTTCTTGGAGGGTTTTAGGTAATTGGAAGGAATTAGGTTGAGGATATTTTTTAATGTGTTCGTATTTGGTGAGCTTAGAAGAAGTTGATTGTAGAATTTTTGGTAGTAAAAAGGAAGAGAAGACCTTAAACTCATGTGAGGAGCCACAACTCGGAAGAATCACCAAAGAAATAATGATGAAATGAAAAAGTACAGGCAAGAAACAGGAAAAAAAAAAAAATCCCCTTCAAGCAAAGGAACGAGAGATTTTTGGCAAGAGCTGTATGACAGAGCTGGCTTGTGTTTCGATTGTTGGTGTATAGGGGGAGATTTTGATATGGCCAGATGTCTTTCAGCAAGATCTTTTGCTACTATAATCACCCAAGATATGACGTTGTTCAATTCTTTAATTGATGAACTGAATCTTTTCGATCCTTCCTTGAAAAATGGCTCCTTCACTTGGTATAGTTCAGGTGATAGACCGCCAAGTTCCAAAATTAATAGATTTCTTCTCTCTGAAGGTTGGATGGTTTTAAAGAGGTCTGTGTACAGACAAGTGAGAATTTTTTCAGGTCACTTCCTTATACTTTTAACTTCGGGTTTGCAAAGATGGGGCAACATTCCCTTGAGGTTCGGAAACTTGTTGCTGGAGCACCCCCTGTTTTTTGGACACTTTGGAAGGTTGGTGGAATTCTTTTCCTTCGGAGGGGTGGCCCGGATTTGCATTCATGGAAAGGTTGAAAGGCTTGAAAACCTTCCCAGTTCACTGGAACAAAGAATTCAAAAGCTTACCGTCTCTCCCAATTGCACCCAAATGCACCTAAACTACAAATAAGCAAAAACGTACCTTGCTCAGCTCTTGTATTTCCTATAAGTACCCTTACTCCTTTCCCTTACCGTCATACCCATGTACTTATTACAAAATAGTGGACCCCTTTGACTAACTAATTACGTTCTACCTGACTATCCTTCCTCAGACACTTCTTCTTATACACGCTTCTAATAGGAGACCTATCATCTTCTTTGGATGCTTTCTTTGAACTACACACAGATGAAAAATTACAGAAAAAATACCCAACTTATAATCTCTAACCAAGCCAGTACTTCCTTTGCAAAAGAAAATTGGAAGATACTAATCACCAATTTTACTGGCTGGTTTGGTGGCATCTTCTCTTTTATTCAGGTTGATGGATGTCTACAGTCTAAATGTCTCTCCCCCTAGTAATGCGATAGAGTTGATTCTCCTGGGTTTTGTGAACATATAACTAAGGGACTAATAATCCGTTCTGATTTTATAGTATTTGCACGTTTCTCTACGTAATTTGGATACACAGGAAGTAGATAATTTTCAATGTAGAAAGAAAAAGATCAGAACAATCTGTCAGAGTTGATCAGGTTTCTTTCTTCTTCATGGCGTACAAAGTTTGTCATTTTGTAATTGCACTTTTTTACTATATTGGCTAACTTGAGAGCCTTATTGTAGCTTTATTTTGCATGGTGGATTATAAGAAAGATCTTCAATTGTAAACTTAATGATTAAAGACTGTAATCTTGAAAAGGGTGTGAACATTAACACCAATAAAGAGAATCTTTAAAAGGGTGTGAACTGTTATGGATTTTTTATTTATTTAGAACATTGTGATAATTTCTAAATTTGTTTCTGCTTTATTTAGAAGCAAACAGCCATTGTATTTGAGAATTGGGTCCTGGTTAGAAAAAAAATTATGGAAACATGGGGTGATCTTCTAATGTACAACTTGTAAGCATGCCCTTCTGTGCACCGAACTTCTGCACATGCTATAGTTGCAAATGTGGCAAATAGAGTGGAGAGTCATAAAGATGAAACTTTCAAGCATCACCGGAAATTCTTAAAATGGAAGTTTCTTAAGTGGCAAATTTATACCCCTGAGCTGGGTTGGAGATTTTTTGTGGACCAACCTGAAATTTCGGGTTGGTGATTCAAATGACTCAAATAGGATTCACAATCCAACACAACCCAACCAAACTCTCTACTTTCGAGTTGGGTCGTAGGATGTTCATTTTTTGTTTATTATTTTAAAAAAAATCATATTTATCCACGTGTATATATTAATAACTGAAATCTCATAAAACTCAAATATCAAACATTCACAAGCCGCAACACAACACATTACTAACATCTTACAAATGTCAAACATTTTTCATATTCATAACAATCTTAAGAATAGAGGTGTGTTGTGAACCCTAACTTGACAAAAAAAATAAAAAATCCCAATCCGCTAACCGAACCGATATTTTGGTTTTTCAAAAATTCAACTCCACCCAACCCAACGTTGGGTAGTCTAGTTTGTTCGAGCCATCGAGCCATATGAACACCCTTATCTTTTACCAGACAATTTTCACCGGTATGATTAAACCATCAAAATATTTCAGAGATATAGAAAAAAGTGAGACTCCAGTAACATTTTCCTGTCTTTTATTTTATCTCCAATATATCAGGACTTATTTCGTTTGTTCTTTCAACTATCTCCTTCTCATTCTCTACTTTCCGAATTATTCATTTAGGCATCAAAAGAGCGACTGAAACAAGTTATTACACAAGCCAGTGAAAAAGATCATGAATTATGTTCTGACCCACCTCAAATTAATGATGTTGACTGTAAGTACTGTTCATCTCTAGATTCTTGGATCTCATTATTTGTATGTTCAAGTAAAATTTTGGTGTTTTTGGGACTAGTTTGAATCATTATAGAATTACTGACATCAATTATTATTATTTAGTTCAGTAGCTTGCAAAACTTCTTAGTAAAATATTGACCTTTTTTGTTTTTTTACTTCTTTAATTAATATTAACTCGTTTTTAAAATTAAAATAGATTGTTAAAAGTAGACCTTGATTCAAAGAGATTACATGTAGTCGGTTGTTTTTTCCTCCTTTATGAATAACAATTAGAGCAGCTTCTATATCTGAAACTAGATCAGAAATGATTTTCTTCTAATAAAAAAAGAGGAAAAGTCCAAGAGATTATGTAAATGCACTAATTTACAATCCTTTTTTAGATTTCCAGTTCCCCCATTTTCATTGGTCAGGGAACAACCTTCATGATTAACGTTGACATTCTATGCGGTTTCTTTTTTTGGTCCCTTTATGCTTTACACCATCTTTGAATTATGTCTGACTTAACAAAACTCTGTAGTTATGGTATTGGTTTTTCTTACAAGAAACAAATCTTTTCATTGAGAAAATGAAAAAAGAGGCTAATATGCTCATGGAGTTTGTAAGTATGGTATTGGTTTTAAACTTTATTAACTGATATTTTGCGTCCTCCACAGGTATTGAGTCTGCAATTCTACCTTTGTGGTTCCAGTTGTTTAACAAAGAGCTTATACGTAATATATCCTTTTCAGAACACGAAGCTTTTGATCATCCAGTGGCATGTAAGTTTCTCTTTGATATACTGTCTATCATGCATTTTGATTCTATCACATTTCACGAAGATGGGCATAATAATATGAGAAAATAATTTCATTGGAGGTTTGATGTTCGTATTCAATTCTTCAATAATTTCCTAGATATGGATTCCTTCGTTTACTTCCTTTTAAGTTGTATAGTCCGTCCTTTTTTTTTTTTTTTTT